TCAACTGAAAACAACTGACTACTGGCAAAAGGAAGGCAGGAAGGCTGGGTAAAGGGATGCCTCTCTCAGGGACAGCTCAGTTTTGGGTTGTTTTAAGCTGGCCACAAAACCATACCCATATCATTGGAGAAAAGAAGCCTGCATAGATCCTATGGTTTAATAAATGACAGCCTAACCAGTACACGGCCAGTACAGATTAATCCAAGAAAAGACTTACCAGCTGCTTTCAGTGAGGTCAAGCAAGTGGCATATTTGTTTATTGCACCACTAAACATTCATTTTTAAACTGCCAATCAGCAAATTCATAGTTATTGTATATCTAGAAAGCCCCCTTTTCTTTTCTTTCCCAAAAGAAAAAGGTTGGTTCAAAACATCACAATGTGTACTTTTCACTGATAGGAGATTTCAGCGCATACTGTTTACTTGATTGTCTGTGAAGAGGCCCACTATGCATAAATCAGTCCAGAGAAATAGAGGATTGTTTTATTACACAATGAAGATTTCCAAAAAGGTCTTAATTCCTTGTTCAGGAAATGGCACCACTGTTTACTTGAAACAGATACATTACGTGGCCTGGAGGAATTTTGTTTAAGGAGATAGGCTTGCTGTCATTGTGAGTAAGAGTGTTGCATTGTTCTTGGAAATGACAATTAGGAATGTACTTTGATTTGAAGGTAATTAGCAAAAAGGGCAAAATGCTACTCCAAAGCTTGACAAATTTTCCAAATGAGGAAAACTAAAATGAGTCCAGCTCTTGGGATAAATTTTGGATTATTCAAAAATATTGCTTAATATCAACAAGAAATCAGCTATGAAGAATTTCTGTAATTTCCATGGTATTAACTGCAATGCATTTCAGACCTGACAAGATACTATGCCAACATCTTAAATCTCTCAAATTTTTTTACCCTGAGGTCAGATTAGCAAGATGTTAAGGAGCAGAAAGACTACTCTCTGTCCTTTTTCATATGAACTCCCCTGCTGAATCCTCTCGGTTGCTTTTTCTCAACCACAGTACCTATAGCCCTTCCACCTTCCAGCCTCCACTCATCTCCTCAAGACCTCTGTGGACACTTCTCACCTTCCTTCTTCCCGTTTACTTCCTTGAAATGCATCAGTCCATGGGCTGCTGAACTTCCCATCAAACATTCATGCCTTTCCCCATTCTTAGTCCTGTGCTCTTACCTACTCGGGGACACATTATACTACAGGTGCAAAATTAAGTTCTGCCACTCCAAGGATAATTTCTTTTCCAATTACCTCTAATTCTGTGTAAACTGCTGAAAGGGCAAGTATAAGCCAATTTAAAAGGAGAAAGATAAAACTGAAAATGTTTACAGTTATATTACAATACACAACACTCAAAACCTTTGTCTTGGAAGAGATCATGTTCTCATGCCTCAACCCCCCATGGAGCAGAACTGACCTGTTCTACCATGGCACATGTTGTCATATGGTAGCTCAGAATCTCTGCTGTATGCAGATTTTGCTGTTTGCAAGATGGGATGAGTGAGAGGCTTGTCAGACACCCAGTTGCTGTTCCAGAGTCCCCAGATAAATCAGTGTTTGTCTGGACAGCTCTAAACAATAGCAGCTGCTAACAGTTCCCCCGGGATCAGTTTTTGATTTCAGATTACCAGACACAGCAGGGCATCCTTTCCTTCTTCTGGGATAATCCTTGTGCTGGGATGGAGGGGAGAAGATTTATGAATCAAATATGCAAGCCTAAACTGAGAATTGCCAGCGTGGTAGAGACAACTAATCTGTTGGTGAATGCTCGAGAACTTTCTGGTACTTTTGTGCTCTTTCTTGCAGGGAATCTACCTTTTGCCCTACTAATAGCAGCTCATTAATTGATCAGTGCAGGTATTATACACTAGAAAGGCTTCATTGCTGTTTATTCTGATGCTTCGTATAGTTGTTTATGCTTTCCAGGACTGTGCTGTCCTATTAGCTTCATGTGTCTGTTGTAATTTGTACTGAATTCACTCCTCTGTTCCACCTCACTTGAGAAAGCCTTTATCTCGTGTTTTTCCCACAGAGAAATCTGATTGTCAGATCCATGGTGTTACATGGATGTAAAAGAACAAGAAGCTGTTCTCTATATAGCTGGAACATGATTCCAGAAGAGACAGTTTTAATAGCAGCAGTGATCCTTAAAAAACTTAATCCTTTTTGGTGATCTCTTTGTATTTCTTGCCAAAAATATTCTGATGCTTCAGTTATAATGTGGTGAACTCATTTTTTTCTTACTAATCTTCAGAAAGTACAGGAATCCTGTTTGAACAACGACGAAACAATTAAGATTTCAAATTCCATGACCGGCTCAGTGAATGTCTCTCCAAAGTCACAAAAGCTTCCACAAGATTCTTATACTGCTGATACCTATTTCAAATGTGTGTCCGTGAAGTGTCCGTCTTACGGTGCTACCTATTGCTTGAAGAATTGTTCGTACCTATTGCTTGCTGTAGGAATTTTTGTACCTGTCACTAGAGGGCAACGCAGCTACTCACATCATCACACCACTCGGATGAGTTCCCAAGAAGCTCTCTGCTGAGATTCGCCGGTGCGAAGTTCACGCAAAAGTTTGCAACTTTTTCTCTACAAACCCCGTGCTCGGGTGCTAACTTTGATAGTTACTTGTTGAATACTTTTGAATGGACGATCCAGAATGACACTGAGAGGAGACTAATGTTGCTTACAGCAAGAGACCTTGACTTCTCTGTTTATGCCACTTCCTCATAGGGATCATTGCCCGCTGCAGTGCTGAGAACAACTGCAATCAGTTTTAGACAGGTAGTTCCTGATTTTGAACTTCTGATGCTAGTGAAAGATTTATCACTGACTTGGTTTCAGGCAGGATTTGGTCTTTGGTACTGATTTTTACCCACAAATGCGTATACCAGGATATTACTGGTCCATGTTTGCTTAAACTGACCTTCTGAAAAGTGATTCAAATGCAGTAGGTATCTGAGTTCTATACAGACTGGGAAAAAAAAAAGAAAAAAGAAAAAAAGAAAAATTTTTATTCAGTCACATGTTACTCAAATATTGCCAAACAGGCAGACTTGCCTTAACTCGCATCACCTGAAATGGAAACAATCTATCATTTTGAACACTCCTAAATGCAATAATACTCTCATTTAACGATGACTATCCTGGCTACATTAAAGGGTGATGCAATTTCCAAATGAGATAACGCCGTGTGATTATCTAGTGTCAAACGTGAATTTAGTCATTTCACTGAGATTAAGATTTTATACTCCCTGTGATTTTTGCTGTGTTGCCAACACCCTACTCTGCCTTGGAGTCAGAGTTCTCTGATTTCATGTGATTATCTCGGGAAGGTTTCCAAGTACGTTTATGTTGGACTACCACCTATTTTCTTCCCTGCTTATTCAAGTGGTGTCTCTCGGTCATCTTTCAAGAAGCATATAAATATGTATATTTAAGTTGAACAAATTCAAACATGAAGTTCACATATTGACTCCTTCCTCCTGCTTCTCAGCAGACACGTTTGCAGTGTAACCCCACAATTTTTCTTCCATTCCACACAGCAGGTAACTCTAATCAAAATCAACTATCAACATTTTTTTTTTTAATAAAGAAGGTAAAAGACATCCATATTTAGGTCTTTCAAGAATTTTCTTTAATGATAAGAGAGAGAAAGTCTTGTCAAATTATAAGAGTTAAGACACGGTGAAGTCAGTTTATGGGAGAAAGGCTCTGGATCTGTTCCCCTCCCCTAGAATGCCATGCTAGAAGGAACACTGTTCAACAGAAATATAGCATTATATATCTCTTTTAACCAAGTAGCCTTGTACTTTGGATACATCCCATGTCATATATGATATGTAAGTCCCTCCCATGAACTAAGAAGGGCCTGGGTGTGGATATCTTCCATTTTCACATATATATGTTTCTCCTACATTGGGATACTACATATACTTGTATTAAAATATAGTTTCAAGATTTTTTTCTTAAAGCTTTTGGGTAAAAAAAATGGTACTTTTTAATTTAATGGTAACTTTTTGTTTAGTAAGAACTTTTATTAACACAGTGTCTTCTATTTGGAATGCAGGACTTGTTATTTGGGATTGGCTCATACCTTCACTTCCTTCAACATCCTTTTCTGACATTGACCAGTACAATAAACTTCAGAAGAAGGCAGATGAAATCCCACTGCTGGTTATAATTTTTTTTGTAATAAAAATTATACAGCATTTACAACAGTTACACTCTAACACTCAGCTATATCCACGTTTATATTTTGAAATAAACATAAACACTCTCTTAGTTTTTGTTGCTGGAGGCCAGTTTCACTTTCTTTCTCTTAGCCCTTTTCAATCTTAAAGACAATAAAAGGTGATGAAAAAGTCTTTGTGGTGAATCCCAAGACTGAGATATCCCCAGGGCAATGTGGTTAGTGCAGAACGAAGAAAGGTATTTAATTCTGTAGATAGAATCCAGTCCTTTCAGTAAGTGAATACAACCCTATTAAAAACTCATCGGAAAACAAAACAACAAAAACCGCTAGGCACAGATTTTGTTGGATTTGCAGATAAATTCTCTCACGAGTCCCTATGCATGCAGAAGGTTTTGTCTGCTGCTGTCTGATCACAGCCCAGGAACACACAGGGGCTGAGGAGATTTATTTTAACAACCCTTCTTCTGAATCAAAACACGACCCAAAATCAAAATGCGAACTTTTGCGCCCCTGGACGGTTTTGGGTTTGGTTTGTTGTTTGCTTTTTTTTTTTAACCCTCTGGTAAGAAAAACGAGAAAAACCCATGAGGGATTGACCAACAGAGGACAACAGCGAGGGCTGCGCCGCCCGCCGCGGCGCTGGACTGGAGTCGCGCCCCGCGCAGGTGAGAGCTTTTGGCGGGGCGGGAAGGAGGGAGGGGACAAGGAGAGGGATGTCTCCCCTCTCCCCGGCCCTGGGGCGGGCCGGGGGGACCTGAATGGATGGGGCCCGTGTCAGTCAGGGGCAGGGCGAGGCCGGCGGCGGGGGATGGTGTCCCCCGCCCGGTGTGGGGCTGCAGTTGTGGAGGAGCGGCGGCACCATGCGGGCGGCCGCCGGGGTAGGGCGGGGAGGCACCTGCTCCCTGCGAGGGCAGGCGGGAGGGCTCCCTCCGCGGGCTTGTCGCTATCTCGGCTTTGCTGCCGCTGCGACAATCCCGCGGAGGGAGGCTCATCCAGCGCTGTTCGGTTCATCCCTTTCTTTCTAGGACGTGGTGGGCATCCTCTGCTTGGTTTCTGTGGCGGCCACGCTGGATTTCAAGTACCACCATGCTGAGGAGCTGGAGAAGTACCTGAAGGGGGTTCACGCCGAGTACCCCTCCCTCACCCACTTGCACAGCATCGGGCGATCGGTGGAAGGTAAGGCGGGGGGAGCGGAGAGGGGAGAGAAGGCTTTTTGTTTTAATTAAATTGGGACAAGTGAGGGTAGAGGTGGCTGCGGTAGCGTTTCGTGGGCGCTTGCTGGCGGCGGGGCTGCTCTAACAAATTTCTGTGAAGTTTCCTCTTCCTCTTCCTTAAGCGTGAATAACACACTCTGGCTGAAGAGTCATACGTGTTATCGGGGTAAAAGTTCTCCCAACACCTATATGTCTTTGAGAATTGGAAACCTCCTAAGTGGCAATTTCAGAAAGAGGGCTGTCTTTAAGGAGTTTAAAATGTGTGGGACCCATTTGCCAAGTGCCTGTTCTACGTGGGACTGCAATAACTCTGTGTTTTCTAACTTGTGGTTTTGTTAAAAATACCTTCTTTTTTTGTTTGTTTGGTTTTTAACTTCATCTGTATTATTCCAGTAAATCTGGACTGACTAGAAAAAGGATTTCAAATTCCATACTGATGCAAGGCTCTGTGCTTTAGATGAAGAATGGGACTTCAGTCTCAAACCCTACAGGAAAATGTACTGAAATCAATGATCACCTTTCTGGCCTTATATATATGTTTGATTTTATCTCTCTATGATTGGTACTTTCTTACCATAAATTTATTGGAGGGGTAAGAATTTACTATTTTTTTTAAAGATACTAGAAAAATTGCTGTTTTGTTAGCAAATAAAAAACACTTTAGTAGATTCCAGTTCAGGAAACTAAGTTACTTTGGTAAGAGGTATAAAACTAGATAGAGAATTCCTTCTTTAGAAATATCATCTGTTCCTCTAATCCCATTTCATACCACTGGAAGGAGACAGTTGTAACTTCTATTATCAAATCTGTGCTTGAGTTTAAAAAAAAAATAAATCTGTATTCTACTTGGTAGATAATCATGATGAATGCTAGTATTTCCTTTTCCTACTTCCTTCTTTGTTTTACCATGTACATCGTAGTAGACAAGGAATGTAAAGTTTCATCAAAGGCAGAATTAGATTGGATTGTGTTATTCATGCACACAAGAGAAGGCTAGTTCCTGTAAGTATAGTTGCCTCCAGTACAAACTACCAATTATCCACATCCTCATTTTCCTACCTTAAGGGAACTTAGCTAACATTCTGATGATAGGACTAGATCCTGACTTTTCTGCCAGGAACTCTGCTGGCTTATCTTCTTGCAGGTAGGAAAAAACCTTTCATCCAACCTGAGAGATTGAAACTCTGGCTTTTACATATCTAGATACATTAAAGTTGATAACATGAAGAGTTCAACTCGTCTTTGTTTCATCAGGATGGAAACTGGAAATTCATCATCTCTTGCTTTTGATTGAGCAATGCACTGAAACATCATTCAGATTTTGATATATTGCCTACTGCTTTGCCAAACTTAGTGAGAGGAGAATTGTGTGGGCTTTCCTTGTTCTGCCAGCTACATGCCATGATTCATGACTGTGTGCTTGCAGTGTTTTCCTGAATGGAATAGGTGGGCAGTGGAAAGTTTTTCAGTGCCATGTAAAGCAGAATGGTAGTGAAAAACGTTCAGTGCTTCTCTTTTATCTCATTGTAAATGTTAAGAGATTTCTACCTGTGTTAAGAAATGTGCCTTCAGAGTCCCCTGGAATGTGGCAGAGGATGGTACTGAATTAGGGTCTAATTTTTTTTTTTACTAAAAGAAATGAAGTTTTATGACAACAGTGGTTATTTAATTTTGGTGAAAATGAAGTTTCTATTTTGGTCAATGGGCTGAAGTTCTATTCTTCTTTTTTCAGTTAAGCTGACACAAACAAGACTATGTGCATGCACTTACTTTACTAGTGTTGTCTCTGCCAATTAGCATTAAATCGTGATAGCAAAATGTACTTGTTTAAATTAATTTCCACTTGTCGTTATCAATAGCATAAAACTGAGATCAATGCAATGTAATAAATTGACATTCCTGTTATGGAAATTCTTGATGATGAATACAAAATCCCATGGATCAAAATAGTGTCTATAAAGCCAACAGACATAATTTTACTGTTATCATAAATGGCTACTGTTCCCATATTATTTGTTAATCTAGGGCTTACTACAATTTTATCTAATAATCTAGTATTTTATTCTACCATCTAGATATGGATTATGAAGAATGTTTGACTACGATTCTGTGTGTAGACACAGAGCTCTACCAGGCTGTAGAGTCTTCTTGCAGAATCCTACAGTTTAGGTCTGGGGCCCATCTAGTCTGAGCTCCTATTCAAAGCAAGGCCAATTTGAAAGTTAGATTATGATGCTCAAGGCCCTCTCCACTCAAGTTCTGAATATCTGCAAAGGTGGAGATTCTAAAGAGTCTCTGAGTGCCTGATCCAGTGGTCAATTACCTTTGTTGTGCAGATGTTTTCTTTCTTCTGATTAGAATTTCCCTTGCTATGAGTAATGTTAACTGTCCTTTTGCTGTGTGCCTCTGAAGGTTTGTCTCTGTCTCTCTATAATGTCCCTTTATTTATTGGAAGATTGTAGTTGTATCCAGACTAAACAAACTGACCTGCCCCAACCTCTTCTCAGATGCAATGTGATCATCTCAGTGGCACTCTGCTGGACTTCCTCCGATGTGGTGTTGTCTCTCTTGTGTCCAGGAATTCATAGCAGGGCATGGTGCTCCAGATGTAGCTTTAATAATGATGAGTGGAGGGGAATATTAATTTCTCTCAAGATACTGGTTTCAGTTCTTGCTGATGCACCCACCCCAACACACAGATGTTTTTTTCTGCTGTGAGAACACATTAATGACTCACATTTATCTTGTCTACCTAGACATTGATGCCACATCCTGCAGCCTCTAGGCTGCACAGCTGCCACCTAGCCAATCTGCAACCTGTACAAGCATGGGGTTATTTTCTTGGGTTCATGATCCAAATATGGGGTTCTTTCATTCCAGGTGCAGGATTTTGCATTTACATTTGTCAAACTTAATGAGCTTTCTTTTGAGAAATTCCTACAACTTGCCAAGACCCCTCTGAATGGTAGCCCTGGCCCTCCTAAAGATATTAAACAGTATCAGCTTCAGTATTGACCGTTGAGGAATGTTGCTAATGATTTGCTGTCTCTTGAACCACCAGCTGCTCAGTTCAGCCAGCTTGTGACCTTACTGTAGTCTACTCCTTTATTCCATATGTTCCCGTCTTGCTTTCGAAGGTACTGTGAGGGTGACTAGGCACTGGAACATGCTGCTCAGGGAAGTCATGAGGTCTCCATCCTTGGAGATATTCAGAAGCTGTCTAGACACAGTCCTGGGCAGTCCTGGGTGTAGCAGGCCCTGCTTGAGCAGGGGGGTTGGACCAGGTGACCTCTGGAGGTCCAATCCAACTGACCCTGTGATTCTGTTGAAAGCCTTGCTAAGGTCAAGACTAAAGAGATAGGACGGTTTCCTCTTTCCCACTAAGCCAGTCATTTCTGCATAAAACCTAAGCAGTCAAGTATGATTTGTCATTGATAAATTTTAGGTGAAATTTACAAAGTGGTTTTATTTGATGTATGTAGACAGCAATGTACGCAGCAAAATCAGTACCAAGATCCTCAATGGAATGCAAACTAAAAAAAGCCCAGTCTGTTTTGTGATGGTTTGCATCACCATATAGAAATTCCCCTCTGACAGATTACTGGGAAGAATGTGTTCGAGACTGGCATTGGCCTGTTCAGTCTCCAGGTTTGCACATTTGGAAGCTATGATATTTAATTATGCATCTTCTCTGCTAAGCTATTATCCTTAAACAAGAGGGGAAAAAAGCTTAAAAAGATGTAGCCCATTGGCTGACAAAACTGAGTGTTATGTTTTTGTTCTAATTTAGTGAGCATCCTCAGATCCCTCAAGATTTGTAGGCGATCTGCATGTTTGTGAGAGACTTGATATGGTCTTAGCGGCCAGTAGGCAGAGATGTGTGGTGGCCCAGAAAATATCTTAATTCTTTTATATTGTTTCAGGTGTGTTGTTGAATAAACTCATAAAAGATCTTTGGCAGGAGTTCTGTTTTCTAATATGTCCAATCTCAGAATGGTATGTGCTCTGTATAATAATAGAGGAAGCTGCAGAGCTACATCAATCTGGAGAATGTGACCTGGTGTAATCATATTGACCTGTCCTGCCTAATGCCACTCCAGTGAAAAACAGACTGACTCTTCAGCAAGCAAATCTTAAGAGTCCATTAGCAAAAAGAAAGTATTTGATGTATGCATGTGATCTGTGGCTTTTCGATGTTCAAGATACAGTGCTGTTGTTATCCTTTGAAAAGAAAATGAAGGTGGTGGGAAGCAGACTTAAGGATTCTAACAGACCTGATGACCTTAGGAGGACAAAGACAAGCAACTCTTGAAAGAGCCAAGTGACTTTCATAGTAGATCCACACTCTTTAAAAATTCTTTTCAAATACTCTCTGGACTCAGATAAAGTGATGGCATGCCAATTATAGGCTGGTTTAGATCTAGATTTTCTGGAGGCCAGTCTGCATTTTTGGAATTCCAGTCAACTTGGAACAATTGTAAACATCCTTAGGCCAGATTCTCCTCACTGAACAAAAAGTTATGTCACTTACCTAGTGAAGTTTCAAAGTTGATTTCATAGATTGACATCTCTGGCAGATTCCTAATTGGAGAGTCAAAAACTAAAACAAACTGACTAGATTTAATTCTGGTTCCACTAGAAATTCTCAGAAATATCTTGCAAAAAACTGTCCTGAAAGCTTATTTAGGTGAGAACTGTGTGGTTTAGTCATCCTGTTCTGATGCTTAGTATTCAATTGTTCTCTCTATTGCCCTTGACCTGGCACATTCCGTCCATCAATCTTAAGCACTTTGCTAACTTTGATTTTTTTAGTTTTCTTTATTTTGTGAATTAGTGAATATCACTTATTAGCATTCTGCTACCCCTGCTCTATAAGCGGAGAGGCTGAAACATGCAGGGGGTGTGTGTATGGTTGGTGTGGGTTTTAAAGTTCCTGGAGGACTTGCCCATGGCTGAGTGCAC